GAGCAACAGCCATTGGCGAAGCAGTCAAGGTGGGGTGGTGAAGGAGAGGGGAAGGGGAAAGGGGCGAAGGGGGGAGCGCAAAAAGAGGGGAGAAAGCCTTTCAAGGGGAAATGTTATTCGTGTGGCCAGTCAGGGCATGACGCTTTCCATTGCCCAGAGCATGAGGACAAGGAAGCGCAGAAGGGGCAAGGGAGTGGGGGTGCCACTGGAGGTGGTGGCAACAGCAAGGAAGGAAGCTGTTCGGGGGGCGGAGGACAGTCCGTCTGTGTGACGGTGGAGCCAATCCTGGCGCAGCAGCCTTCGATCTTCATGGAGCTGGAGGCCGGGGAAGGCTTGCAGGCTGTCGCAGCTGCTGTGAAAGCCAACCCGAGTGTTGTGCTTTTGGACAGTGGCTATTCCCACCACCTGATGGGCGATCGGGCAACATTTGTGGAGCTGATCAATGATAGTTCCATCAGCCAGGTTTGCGGGTTCAACGGCGCGACATAGCCAGTACAAGGGAGGGGCACCATTGCTCTCCTCGGAGAGGGGGGCAAACGTGTCTTGGTGCCGGACGTACTGTATGTGCCAGGGGTGCAGGCAAGCCTTCTCTCCTCAGGGCAGCTGCAGGATACCCGAGTGCAGTTGTTGGATATAGGGGAGCGGACACTCCTGTATGCACCTGATGGATCTCTCCTGGGGCGTGCGGAATTCAAGGGGCGAGTGCTGTGTACCAACTTCCAGCCGTGGCCTGCTGAGCGCGCTGTGGGCGAGTCTCTGGCACTTCGTGCGTTGGCCTCCGGCATGCGGTCGTCGGCTGACATGTGACACGCTTACCTTGCACACATTTGTGTTGACACGATTTGGCGTACTACAGCTCACGGGTCAGTGATGGGCTTGGAGCTGGAGAAAGGGGGGAAGTCGGGACTGCCTTGCGTTTCTTGTGTGGGAGGGAAGATTACTCGTCATACCTTCCCTCCCATGGGTGGCGAGGAAGATGAGGTGCTTGGCGTTGTGCATGCAGACCTCTGCGGACTGTTTCGGGAGCAAGCCAAGGATGGGAGCCGTTATGTCTGGGTCTACACGCTGGCGCAGAAGAGTGACGCCTTGGCTGCCTTCGAGAAGTGGCTACCTTTGGCAGAGTGGCAGTGTGGGATGCAGGTTAAGACGCTGCGCTCCAACCGTGGTGGCGAGTTCCTAGGTGTAGCATTCACTGCCTTCCTCGACCAGCGCGGCATCGAGCATGGCCTCACCTGCCCCTACACGCCGGAGCAGAACGGAATGGCGGAGCGGGAGATGTGGAGCATTGTGGAAGCTGTCCGGACAATGCTGCTCTACATGGGTGTGCAGCACCACTGGTGGCATCTGGCGTTGGCGCAGGCGGTCTGGGTGCACAATCGGGTGGAGCACGCCTCTCTGCCCGTCGGCGTCACCCCGTATGAACTCACATTCTGTCGTAAAACTGATGTTAGTATGGTGCGCATCTGGGGCTGCATGCTACAGTACATGGTGCCGCAATCTCAGCATGGGGGGAAGCTAGCGCCTAAGGCTCGCTGGGGGTTGCACTTGGGTGTGTCTGCAGTCAGCAAGGGATGGCATGTTTTGGACTTGGAGTCCAATCGCCTTATCACCACTGAAGAGGCCGTCTTTTATACATGGCCCCATCCGCTCCTCCTCCACTACCCCCGTGTCTCCTCCCCATTCCTCTTCCGCTCCTGCTGCCTCCCCTCCTCCTCCCCCCTCCCTCCCTTTTGCGTCCACCTCTCCTTCCCCTCCGCCTGCACTGCCCGTCAGCGAGGGGGGTGTGTTGGAGACTCCATCCTTGGTGATCGCCGACGGCCAGCCTTCGACTGCGGAGCAGCAGTGGGACATGGGAGTCAGGGGAGATCTGACGGAGCTGTTGGAAGTGCAGCATGAGGAGGTGCTAGAAGGAGGAAATTTGAAGGGCGGACAGCAACAGCAGGATGCTGGAGGCGAGGGATATTGGGGTGGCAGTCGTGTTTTGGCGTCAGGAACCATCACTACGGACTTGCGTCGCTGTATCATGAGGGGATTTCCGCCAGTTCAGTATGCATGGGCAGTGGTGGTTGAGCCAGGACTGGATGATGTCGACGAGGATGAGGAATGGATAGAACTAGATCCGGATGTGGCAACAGACCTCGGGAGACAATGGGACATTGGGATGATGACAGTGCCCGAGGCGTTGGGGTGCTGGAAAGGCGACCGTGTCCAAGAGGCGATGGATGAGGAGATGCGGACGTTGCTCAAGCAGGAGACTTGAGAACTCATATCACCACCACCTGGGTTTTACATCATGAAGAATCGCTGGATCCTGAACACCACGTATCGGCCAGATGGACGCGTGGAGAGAGAAAAGGCGAGGATGGTGGTCAAGGGGTTTACTCAAGTGGTAGGAGTGGACTATGAGGAGACCAATGCGCCTGTTGGGAGTTACGTGACAGCACGCATGCTGCTGGCAGTGGCAGCTGCTTTGGATATGGAGCTGATGCAGCTGGATGTGAAGAATGCATTTCTTCATGGCGTGCTGGACAGAAGATCTCTACATGGAACAGCCAAAGTATGATGAGGATGGGACTCCTTGTGTCTGCAAGCTGTTGAAGAGCCTGTACGGACTCAAGCAGAGCCCGATGCTGTGGTATGAGGCTTTGGATGGGGTGCTACTTGGGGGCTGGATGGTGCAAGAGCCAAGTGGATGAGGCTCTTTACTTAAAGAGCAGTGATGGGGGTGAGATGTGCTGGCTGCTTGTGTATGTGGATGACCTGCTGGCGGCCAGCTACAGTACGGGCCTGCTAGGGGAGTTGCGTGAGCTGCTGCAGGGTGCATTTCAGCTGAGAGAGATTACCCCATCAAGAAATACTTGGGGTTACAGCTGATACGCGATAGGCCCTCACGGAAGTTGTGGCTGCACCAGTCGGCATATGTGGAGAAAGTGCAGCAGCGCTTTTTGGCAGGGGAGCAGCCTCAGCGTACGCCGCAGACCCCTCTCTCCTCCGACCTATTCAGTGAGCTGGCGTTTGAGGATGAGGGGTGGCAGTCGAGGCAGGAGGAGGAGTACAGGCAGAAAGTTGGATCTTTGCAGTTTGTTGCCTGTTCCATACGCCCTGACATCGCCTTCGCATATAGTAAGCTAGGGCCAGGACAAACAGTGCGCAGTGACCAGCACTGGAAAGAGTTGGAGCGGTGCTTGACCTACTTGGTGGGGACCAAGGATGCGGCCTTGGAATACAGTGGGGGTCCAGTGTCTTTGGAGTTGATAGGGTATGCAGACGCTGATGATCCAGGAGACAAGCAGAACCGGAGCAGCCCAGGAGGTTACGTCTTTGTGTTCAGTGGTGCTACTGCTTGGGTGAGTCAGAGGATTCGTTGTGTCACTCTCTCCTCGACTAAGTCAGAGTATATTGCCGCAGTTGAAGCATGGAAGGAGGCTCACAAACTGCGCTTCCTTTTGGCAGAGTTTCAGCTGCTAAAGTGTGAGGAGCCTACGCCACTCTTTGTCGATATTTCGTCTGCGATTGCTGTGGCAGGTGGCATGGGGCTTAAGGAAAGCCTCAAGCACATGGAGCGGCATCACATGTTGCTGCAGCACATGGTCAAGTGCAGGAAGCTGGATCTGCAGTACATCTCTACCAGCGAATAACCTGCTGACTATCTCATTAAAGCGTTACATTTCCCAGCCTTTTCCCATTAATTTGATACAGTGGGACAAGTGAGACGTATACGATGGCTGTCTCTTCAAGCCCTTTCCGTATTCCGCGTAGTGGTGCTGATCGAAGGAAGCGGATGAAGAGCATGAGGCATGGAAGGAAGGAGGAAGGCTGGGGTGAGTACGACGAATGCGCATTGGCAACATTCCATGACTATGAGCGTATCTGTGCATACGCTTCTGGCTCTACCTAGGTTTCTTCTTGTGATGGTGCCATGGCCTATCCATGGCTGGTGCGGCGTGTGTTTCAGATGGTGCCATGGCCTATCCATGGTTGGTGTAATGTGTGGGACTCGAATTTCGACCAAGTACTTGAAGTCGAACTCTGCCCAAATACCACCGGCGCCTAGCACGCTGTTCCTATAGCGTTACTCTGCCAGAATCGCTCCACACTTAACAAGCGCTCTTGCCTTAGTATTTCTTCAACTTGGACAGCGGCAACGTGTGCAGGTCGGTTGAGAGCGTCTGCGTTCTTTTTGTATCTTGGCTTGTACACGATGTCGTCATGAAAATGTGTCCAGATGAAGTCAAGCCACCGGACATGTCGCCTGGAGAGGTTTGGCTGTGTCTTCAAAAAATTTAGGCTTTAGTGGACGGCGTAGACAGTCGTTTTTCGTCCTTTGAGATAACATCTCCACGTTTTGAAGGCGATGATAATAGCAAGGGCCTCCTTGTCGTGTATCGGGTAATTTCGCTCTGGCCAGTGTATTTTTTTTACCGAGGTAGGCGATTGGTTGCATTCCATTCCCTTGGTCTTGCATCAAGACTGCTCCAACTGCCTGGTCGCTGGTATCAACTTCGATGACGTAGTCGCATTCTGGATCTGGCAGGATGAGTACTGGTGCAGACATAAGTGCTTGTTTCAGATGCCCCGCAGCTTCTTGGTGTCTTGGTTCCCACTGATAGGGTGTATTATTCTTCAGTAGATTTGTGTGCGGTGCGCCAACTTTTTTGTGTTGTGTGGCATGAATCTGTTGTAATAATTGGTGAAGCCGAGTAGCTGCTGCAACTCCTTCACGTTCTCGGGCATCTTCCACGTACGTACAGCTTCGATCTTCTTCGGGTCGACGTGGACTCCTTGAGTGTTCACCATGTATCCTAACAATTAGACCTTCTTGATGGCAAAATCGCTCTTCGTACGACTTGTAGCGAGTTTGGAAGGCAGTTTTGTGGATGGAGTTGTCCTCCATTCATATCTGCCAGTATCTGAACTGTAAATCTAGTTTGGAAAATACTGTAGCCTCCCAAAGCTTGTCAAGCAGGTCATCGATCCATGGAATATGATATTTAAATTTTATAGTTTGCTTGTGGAGAGCTCAGACGTCGATGCACATGCACATGCTTCCGTCCAATTTCGGTGTGAAGAGTACCGGGGCACCGTACGGTGAAGTGAAAGGTCGGATGAGTCCTTTCTCAAGAAGATACTCGATTTGTTTCTTCATATTTGCTAGCTCTGTAGGTCTGAGCCGGTATGGTGCTCGGAAGGTCGGCTTCGAGCCCGGTTCCTCCACGATCTCGTGTTGGTGCATGCGATACGGTGGTAGCTCGTTGGGAAGATCGTCAGGAAGAATGTCATGGAACTTCCGTAGTAATTCCTTGAAATTCTGTGGAGGTTCCGAGGTTTTGTTTCCATCGTCTTCTGCATTTGTTGCTATTGCCAAGAAACCCGGTGTTGGTTCATTTCACGTCCTTCTCGAAACTAACGAGTATCTCCACAGGGATATCTCTTATGTCGTAGTTGAGTAGCTGGACTCTCCTTCCTTTGTTGCAAATACTTGCTGTGTGGTTGACCCACTTGATCTCGGGGTTGAACGCCCAAAGATCAAGTCAATCCCATTTATATTGGTGATGGGAAGGGCAGGCTTCCAGCGAAGTGGTCCAATTTGTCGAGGTAACACTGCTTCGCCGTGGATAGGTAACTTGCTACCATCCACCATCATTGCAGAAAATGTCGAAGGCTTACACTCTTCTCGAAGTCGGTCGATTGCTTCCTTGTCGCATACGATGTGTGAAGCTCCGCTGTCCACAAGTGCTTGGAGGCGTCGCCTTTTGCAGATGACCTCGAGCACAATGAGCCCTTTACAAGCGTTGCTCAAAGGACTCAAAGATAGTTTCATTAATAGGAACATACGGTACATCCCAATATGATGTACAGACCTGTTCATTGCTATCTACTCTTGAGCTAGCAGCTAGCCGAGGCTGCTTGGAGAAGGGCTGCTTGGAGAAGGATCGTACGTATTGTCGATGCCATTGAGTTGGATGCATCCAAATATGGAATTCGGGGCTTCTGAGGCTTCTTGTAGACCCCCAGCTTCCTCTTGAGCTGCTTCAGTTGCACTGACGTCGTCCCTTGGGAACGGGTAGCCGCTGTGGGATGGTATCGGAAGAGGACGTTGACTCCGTAAAAAGGTCGGCTCTTTTCCACACTCCTTAATTTTTTTCCCCTAAGTTTTTCGGTACCGATATAATCTCCAGAATTTTCTGCTTCGTTTGGAGTCCCTCCCATAAAATTTCGAAGGCTCTAGCCGCTCGATAAGATAATTTTAGTAAAATTTTATAATTTATTGGGTCTCGATAGAGCCTTTTTTTACGAAGACTGATTTTTGCTCAATGATTTCCCCAGGCAAAGACTAGTCGTGGGGTGGAGATTTTTTCCCATCATTTCCTTTTGCTCACATCGAATCAGCTTCGTTGAAGTTGATTTTCCCTCATGCAGCTGCATCCGGATCTCCCTTTTTTCTTTTTCTTTTTTCGCTAGCTAGATCCGCAATCACTAGCGATTCCCGCTTTTTATTTCTGACTGGCCGAAGATTTCTCGCTACTGGTGCGTGCCCAATACTCTGTACGTACAGCCTTCATTTTGTTGCAGTCGAAGATTCGATAACCTGACACTCCGCAAAAATCGCACGTTAAATTGGCTTTTTTTTTTTTATGTGGCCGCTTGTTGAACTTGTCGATTTCAATTAGGTAGGCGAACGTGGGGTATGCCAAGCGCTCGCCCTGTCGCATACTGCCGACGTGCGCCCGTCATGTTCTGGCGTTGACTCCGGTATTCAGCCCGACGAAGTATGACGGTATTTTTTCCCCTTCGGTCAGGTCGGGAATGAGGTCACAAAATTCCTCCATCTGCTGTATGTACTGCGCGACACTCCCAAACCGTCGATGGCGATGATTTTTTCTCGGGCAGGGAAGCCCGATTTTATCGGTTTGAAACGTTTCAGGTGGTCGGTGTGGAACTGTTGCCACGTGGATTCGCCGTGGATAAAAGCACTTTTGCCGCCGATCCATTCGAGTGCCGTCCCTCGCATTAGTGTCGTCGTGAGTCGCACGCGCTAACCATCCCAAATCGGCGAGCTCCATCCGATAGATGCGAAGTAAAGTAGATTTTCATGCTGACGATCCTGCTGCGGACATCGGAATTTCGATCGCTCAGATCGAACGGCTCTGATTGGCGCGGCTTCAGAGCCTCGAGAAACCGTTGCGACTATTGCGTCGTCGCTGTTCTCGTTCCGTACTGCGCTCCGCCGAGGCAAGTTACACGCTCGAACTCGTTTCGCCAAGCTTTGCGATCAGCTCGCATCTCCTCCTGTAGGGCAGTGATGCGAGCAAAGAGCTGTTGGGTAACCTCGGCGTTGTCGAAATTCACCATTATGTTCAAAACGCATGCAGAGGGGTTAGTTAAAACAACGCGGAGCTGGTGCTTACCAGAATCGGTGCCGAATTAGTCATCCCCGACGGTTTTCCGTGGCAGGTTTTCCTGTTGTTGCTACTTCGTTGAGCATGGCCAAGTGAAAAAAAACTCTGATTACCTAGTGTTACATGATCGAATTGGTCGAGAGAAAGTGGCACTATCGATTGATCCAAGGAGTTTCTATACTTGTACGGTACATAAGGTAACCATGTTTATCATATCAAAGGGGAATAGACCCTTCTAGAGAATAGAATCACCTTGCGTATAGCCATGCGAGGCAATTGGCTTTAAGGGATTACAGCAGGATTACGCCGGATAGAGTTAGCCAATACAGCCCAAAAAAATAACCCAAAGGATAACATAAAATAAGGAATTGGAAACCAAATGGAAATCTCGCTTTACCCGCTCTGCCGAAGCACATGTCAAAAGCAGGAAAATGCAGCGCCTTGGTAAAATAACATGCCGATCGCTTATTCGTCGGGATGTAGTGCAGTCTTAGCTTGCAACGCTTGGCCCTGTGCAGCAACTGTTGGTGCAATCCTATGGCTTGCACTCGGCTTGTCATCCTTGTTTGTGTGTGTGCATGCATGGCATGGAATGAATTGTGAGTCTATGTCAGTGCTATCTAGTGCTTGTGTGAATGTTTGAATGGTGTATCACAGTGTGGCTTGCGTCGGTCAAGACATTAGCGAGTTTTTACAACTCGCATGTCAAGTCGTCGTTTGTGTGTCGCATGTGTTTTTTCTATTTTGTCGAGTGTGAAGTGTCCATCGCGTCGCAGGTGTGTGCAGCAAGCCCCCATCAACTCAAGAAGAATTAATCTTGCAGATCCAAGAACAAGAGCTCAAGATTTCAAGCCCAAGGGACGCGGATAAATATTAAATAGTGAAAATAGTTACGTTACTTCGTGCAGTGTTACATTTCACTTGGTGTAGCCCCTTGGAGGGTTGGTTTCGAGACTCTTCATGGTTGGGGACTCTGTGGTGGTGTACCACCAACCTGGACCTCGGCTCTTGGGGTATGTAGAGGCTGGGAACCATCTCCCTCTCGAACTCTTCTTGCTAAGTTTGTACTCCTAAGACTATAGTGGCTACTGTACCTCCTGCCAAGAAAACCGCCATAGCGTCGTCAAATCTTCATAGAATTTTATGATTCAACTTGCTGCTAATAGGCAACAGCAACGTGCTTCAGATCAAATTTACAGATCACCGTTTAACGCACAGATCACATCGCCATCAAGTTTTGAAGCTGTCTGACGGAATTCTAACTGTCCTGAATATCTCTCATTTTAGGCACATCTGAGCCTATTGTGATTATAACAAGTGGTATCAGAGCCCCTTGGAGCCGTCTCGACCATGCCTAGACCTGAGGAAGGGGGTGTCAGAGGTGCTGGAGGCAGAGAAGACGCCCAAGCACAAGGTCAACACCAAGATCCACCCGTTGCTCCGGTGCAACCTAGCCTTGGACCCTCTAGGGATGAGCCTAGAGTGTTTGGCTTTGACAAGTTCAACGGTGACAACTTTGCTGAGTGGTCCTTCAAGATGGAGAATATCTTTGACCACTATGATCTGCTGGAGATTATGGAAGGAACGGAGAAGCGCCCCGAGAACGACCCGGAGAAGAGCCCGTGGGTGGGGAAGAGCGCACAAGGCTACCTTCTACTTAGGCAAGCGTTGGGGAGCAGCCAAATCCGTCACATCAAGCCTTTTCAGCGTGAACCAGCAAAGGGACCAAAGGCATGGGCTGGTCTCAAGGGTGTACACGCTCGTGCAATAGCGGCGGTGGCTGTGGTTTTGGAGCGGCAAATGGCGGCACTTCGAATTGACAAAGGCGACTCGGTCGAGGAAGGAGTGCAGAAATTCTTCGACTTGTTGACACGGCTCGAAGGAGCTGAGCTGAACTACAGTGACCTTCAAAAGAAGACCAAGCTGCTGGCCTTACTTCCGAACTCATGGTCATTGCTCATCATCAACCTTAATCGAGATCTGCCCCGTCTCTCACTCGAAGATGTGAAGCGGGAAATCTTACAAGAAGATTTCCGCCGTCGCGAATTGGCGGGTCCCGATGGTGCCGGAGTTGCAAGCATGGGCCGTGGGCACGGCCGTGGAAGGGGCAGAGGGCGAGGAGGAAGATTTGGCAGCAGTAACTTCAATGGAGGCCGTGGTAATGGAGGATATGGCAGCAACAACAAAACAATGGCTACGGGCGTGGGCGCGGTCGATTTGATGGCGAATGCCACTTTTGCCACAAGACCGGCCACATGTGGAGAGATTGCTTCAGATTGCCTGATGGATGGACCCCTTCTCAAGGCCAAGAGGGAGAGGAGCAAGGGGAGGAAGAGGCAGAGGTCGTGGAGGCCGTGGTGGTCGTGGAAGCGAAGCGGCAAGCATGAAAGGTGGAGACTACGACAAGGACTCGAGTGAAGATCGATACCCGGGCCAATTCTTCTTTGTCTCCACGCAAGCGGCAGCTGCAGCAGGAGGTGTGGAAGGCTTTGAGGAGCCAGCTACTGTGGGAAAGGTCACCCTTCACTCTCTGGACTTTTGGGTGATCGATAGCGGCGCCACCTATAGCATGACACCTCGTGCGGACTTGCTCACCGAACTCGAACCGTCGCCGGTCAAGCATGTTACATCGGCTTTGGGGCAGCGAGCAGAGGTGAAAGGCATGGGCAAGGCCATGTTCAAGGGTGCTGATGGGAAGATGGTGGGCCTCAAGAACGTGCTTTGGTGCCCAACCTAGCAGCCAACCTGATCTCCGTTCGGCGTTTGCAAAAGGCCGGCATGGACACATCTTCCAAGGGATCCAAAACCTATACCGCAAGGCTTGGTGAGCGGAAGCTTTGGGACCTTCATGAGGACAGGGACATCTACAATGAGATGTGGCAAATCCCAGTGGTCCCCATGCCTAAGAGAGGCAAGTGGCAGCAAGCGTCAGCACCAAGCGTGAAGCGGTTGGTGGCGGTGATCACGGA